CGCCGTGGCTATCTTTCTCACCGCTCCATCCGCTCCGCGCTCGACTGCCCTCCCAACTACACCCGCAACTCCCTCACCAACATACTCCCCCTGCGAATTGTCTGCCTCGAAGGAGTCATCGAAGGAGTAGACCTGGAAGTTAACATTATGGAACAAAGAAGAGATGGTGGCTACCGACGCATTGGGGGATTGGGAGGCGACGAAGTGAGGTTATGTTTTGCGGGCAAGACGAGTGCTGGAGGACGGAGAGCATCGTGGCCATCGAGCTGTGGATGCAGGCTCTTCCTCTTTTCCGGTTCAATTCGTTTAGAAGACCTAGGAAATTAAAATGTTATGTTTAATTGTTGTGAAAATGAGGTGGAAATTTAAAAGATTAAATTTTGTTTTTTAAAATAGGTTTTAATTTCCGTGTCACACATTTAACGGTCAACTATAAGAGTTGACTGCCACGTCAAACAAAGTTAACGGAGAGTGACCAAACTTGAACTATTTAACTTATTTTAGTGACCACGAATGGAATAAAATATTTTTAGCGACCAAACATGAATGTTTTTTGTAATCCCAGTGACCAACCTTGCAATTAACCCAAACATTTAATTGCATATAATTAGTACAGACAATTGAATATCTGTAAATCCGTCAGCTAATTTTTATTTTTTTTTGGTAAATTAAACGGGTTTGGGAGATTCCCAAAACGTCATACAAAATCAAAAAGGACAGACCCAAGTCGGTGCTCTCAAAAGCATGGTAACCTATACTAACATAATGGCCTTTATTGGCAAGGAAATCAACCACTTTATTTCCTTCTCTATAAATGTGGGAAATTCTGACATCCCAGTTTCGCTGTAACAGCCCCTGAAACTGTAGAACCAGATTATGATACCTGTGCTCCGGTTGATCTTGGGAGGTAAGGATGTTGATGGTTGTAGTGGAATCGAATTGGAGGAGGACTTTCCTGTAACCTTTCTCCCACGCCATCTGCAGGCCTCGAATGGCAGCCCTGATCTCCGCTCGGGTAATTGTGCACACACCGAGGTTTTCCACAAAATCTCCCATACATTTCCCCGTCCAGTCCTGGACAAGGCCACCCCCTGCTGCTTCCGATCCTGGTTGCTTGACTGACCCGTCGGTATTGACACACATCCAATCCTGTGATGGCGGTATCCAGTCGTGCCGCTGTGTTGTCATCTTTGGCACCTGTTTGTGTGAAGTCGTGTCATTATCCTGAGCTTGCATGATAGTTGACTTCCAACATCCGATGCGATGCTCCAGCACATGATCAGCTTGATTTAAGTTGTGGAAGACCTTCTCATTCCTTCTTTTCCACAGATACCAAGCTGCCACGCCAAACAGAAGCCCTTCCTGATCCTTTTTGAGGTGTTCATCAAGCCAAGTTGAAAACCCAAGGTCGTAAGTTAGTGCAGTCTCCTGAATACACAGCCTATGCCATACCTGTATGGAGCTCGGACACTGGCGCAATATGTGTTCGGTGGTTTCCGGCCCGTTTCTGCACGTCGGGCATGTGTCTCCCGTCGTCAGTTTCCTCTTCTTGCACTGCACATTCGTTCTCAAACTGTCATGAAAAACCAACCACATAAATTTTTTAATCCTGTTCGAGCCCTCCCATTTCTATAGTCGCTTCCAGTGCTGGTGGTCGTTTTCCTCCTCCGTCTCACGCTCCTCGTCACTCAGCAACTCTACTGCCGCTGAATAGGCTAAACGCAGCTTGAACTTTCCGTCTGGCTCCATCCCCCAAGCTGTAATGTCTTCACCAGATCCCGACATGGGAGGGTCCGTACTTGCAATCAAGGCAAACAGATTCTGAGTCGGGTGCGGCGCGAAATCCTGCCACTTCCACTCACCTTCATTCGTGACCATCTCGGCTATGGTGGCATGCCAGTTAATTCCCTCGTCATTGCCTGTGATATGCTCGCTGAGGATTGTACCCTCAGCAAGCCAAGGATCTGTCCAGAATTGGACATTATGACCTTCCCGAATGCCCCACATGACCCGCTGCTTGAGGATTGGCCAAGTATCAACAATCCCTTTCCAAAGCCGCAAGAAGTTGCTTTTCTTCATCACCAGAGCCCCTATCTCATTGACTTTGAAGTACTTACCTTGCAGGATGCGGATCCAAAGCTCATCCGACTTGTTTAGGAAAGCCCACCCCAGCTTCATAAGGTAGGATAAATTGAGGGCTCTTTCAGATCGCATACCCAGACCGCCAAGCTCCTTCGATTTACAAATGGTTTCCCATTTTACCAAATGAGTCTTGGAGACCCCGTCTTCTGCTCCCCAGATGAAAGCTCTCACTTTCCTATCAATGGTGTCGCAGACCGAGATAGGGAGAACCACCGTTTGCATGACATAGTTCGGAAGGGCGTTAAGCACCGAGGTCGCTAAGATAACTCTTCCTGGCAGAGAGAGACTCCTCCCCTTCCAACCTGAGAGCCGTTGATCAATCTTCTCCAAGATGAACTTGTAGGTATCTTTCGTGACTCTGCCGTGGATAATTGGAACACCCAAGTAGCTCCCTAGGTTGCGTGTCTGTTTGATCCCCAGCATGTCACTTATACTTTTCTTTAGATTCTCCTTGGTATTTTTGGAGAAGAAGACACATGATTTGTCTTTGCTAACTTGCTCCCCTGAGGCCTTACAAAACCGGTTAAGACAAGTTAGAACTTCTTCTCCTTACTTTGGATCAGCCTCCGCAAATAAGACCAAGTCATCTGCGAAAAACAGATGAGTAAGTGCAGGACCATCCTTAGACAGGTCATCGGTCTCCAGGCTTTCCTATCTACAGAGTCTATGATGCAGTGATTTAGTCTTTCAATACATAAAGTAAAGAGATAAGGTGAAAGAGGACATCCCTGCCGAAGACCCCTAGTAGGTTGGAAAGGTTCGGTGCAGCCACCATTCCAAAGCACCTGGAAACGAACAGTCGTCACACAAGCCATGACGAGGTTGACAAAATCATCCGGAAGACCAGCTGCCTGCAGAGTTGATTCCAAAAACTTCCAATTAATCCTGTCATAGGCTTTGGCCATGTCAATTTTCAGAATCATTTGTCCTTTTTCACCCGTCCTTAGTGACATAGTGTGAACCACTTCCTGTAGGATGTGATGTTGTCTGTGATATGTCTCTTCGGGATGAAACTAGACTGGCTCGGGTCGATAAGCTGAGACATAAACTTTTGGAGCCAGTTTGCCAGACACTTCGCCAGGACCTTGTAGCTCACGTTACAGAGGCTAATGGGCCTGAACTGAGCTACTTGCTTCGGGCATCGACCTTGGGCAGCAACACCAGATTCCTGAAACGTTCAACAATGTGGTTATGGAAATAAGCTCCCACCCTGTCCCAGCATTTCTGGTAGAAAGTAGCATGAAAGTCATCCTTCCCCGGTGCCTTTATCCCTCCCATATCCTTGATTATCCGGTACGTCTCCTCAGGAAGAAAGTTGGCTGCAAGGTGCAACATCATTGCCTCAGTCAAAGCATTGGAAAGTGCTGGGATATCTTGCTGCCCCATGCTATCATCCGAGTAGAAACAAACATAAAAATCCCAGGCCATAAGTTTCAACGTCTCTGGATTCTCTATCCAAGTCCCATCCTCTTGCTGTAACTTGGTTATTCTGTTTTCCGACGTATTGTGAGGGCAACAGTGCAGAAGTAGCGAGTATTCTTAACCCCACTCACAATCTGATTGGCCCTCGCCTTCTGAAGCCACAGGAGTTCTTCTTTCCATAAGGTTTGTTCAAGTTCCTCCCGAATCTGCCATTCTCGTCTTAGGGATGCTTCACTTGCTGTTATCTCGTTCTCAATCTCCAGGCGGGTAAGCTGCTTTGCCAGTTTAGCTTTCCTCCAAAAGATATTTCCTAACACCTCTTTGTTCCAACGTGTCAGATGCTCTTGAAGATCCTGCAAAGACAGCAAACAATCCCTTCCTCGGTTCCACGAGGCCTCAAGTGTAGAGGAGAAATCCTTGTGAGCTAAACACGACACTAAGAATCGAAAAGGTCTTACCTGCCTAGGAGGGGTATGGTCATTGTCACTGCAGAAGAGAATTGGTCTATGATCCGAGCGAAGCTTGGGCAGATTCATTGATAAGGTATATGGGAACTTCCTTAGCCACTCCTAGTTACGTAAAGCTCTGTCAAGGCGTTGGGAGAGTCTCCCATTATTCCAGGTGAACTTGGGCCCAGTAAACCCGACGCCTAGAAGCCCACAATCACGGAGGCACGCATTGAAGCTAGCAGTTCTGCTCTGGTTGTACGCATCACCTCATGTACGCTCTGAGGGGCAGGTGATGGAATTAAAGTCTCCAGCTAAGAGCCACGACAGCTCAATGTCTTGCTCCAGTCTCCGAATAGCCGCCCACAGGGGAAGCCTATCATGGTTGTTGGGCTTTGCGTAAATAGCAGTCAAGATAAACAAGTTTCCATTCTGATCTGTGCACAAAAGATGGAGAAATTATGAGTCACGATTCAATTCCATGATCGCAAGATAAGTATCCATCCACAGAACCCATAGCATCACCGTTCTTGCCCGTTTGATTCCCTTGAGCGGATCCTTGATTGGCCTGGACTTTCCTTTTTGGATTGCGAGATTTTCGCACCGCTTGCATCCATGGTCCATATCCCGCCGATGGCTCCGGTGGTTGGACTTCTGGAAACCGGACTAAGTCGGACGTGCACGTCTGAGGAACAATCGCCGGCGGATTATGTAGCTTGGGACAGGCGGTTTCTGAGTTCCCGATACGGCCACATTCGAAGCATATCTTCGGGAGATTCTCGTAAACGACTTGTTGCCAGAACCCATCGAGGCGGATCCGCGTCTTCAGAGGCTTTGTCATATCGAGCTCGACGGCGATCCAAGCGAATTTTCCTCTTTCCATGCATTCCGTATGATAATCGAGTTTCACTGCTCTTCCCAATAGGTTTCCCAGCGCGAAGAGCACTTCCCGATGATAAAAGTGAATCGGTAGCTCCGGTAATTGAACCCATGATTCCCACGAAAGGTCCCAGCGCCGTGGCTATCTTTCTCACCGCTCCATCCGCTCTGCGCTCGACTGCCCTCCCAACTACACCCGCAACTGCCTCACCAACATACTTCTCCCGCGAATTGTCTGCCTCAAAGGAGTCATCAGTAGACCTGGAAGTTCAGATTATGGAACATGGAAGAGATGGTGGCTACCGACGCATTGGCGGATTGGGAGGCGACGAAGTGAAGTTATGTTCTGCGGGCAAGACGAGTGCTGGAGGACGTAGAGCATCGCCATCGAGCTGTGGATGAAGGCTCTTCCCCTTTTCCGGTTCAATTCGTTTAGAAGACCTAGGAAATTAAAATGTTATTTTTAATTGTTGTGAAAATGTGGTGGAAATTTAAAAGATTAAACTTTATTTTATAAAATATTTTTTAATTTCCACGTCACACATTTAACGGCCAACTATAAGAGTTGACTGCCACGTCAGACAAAGTTAACGGAGTTGGACAGAGAGTGACCAAACTTGAAATCTTTATCTAATTTTAGTTACCACGAATGAGATTAAATATTTTTAGTGACCAAATATGAATGCTTTTTGTAATTCCAGTGACCAACCTTGCAATTTTTCCAAACATTTAATTGCATTTAATTAGTACAGACAATTGAATATCTATAAATCCGTCAGCTAATTTTTCATTGCTAAGTGGCTGTAATAATTTTAAGTGAAGTGTGAAAGTATTATAAATTGTTTACATCATTCATTCGTTATATAGTACAAGCTTGCTACTTTAATACATCTAACGCTTAAATACGCTTTGTCAGACGCCTATACGATCCAGACATTGAACGAAATACCCACACGCCCACCTTATACTTATCACCTTCTTGAACCTTGCCTATAGCACATTTAAACCAAACTAGCTAGTTTTTTTGGGCGGCGCGCTTCGTAGCGGTAAGAAGCTATTTATAATTAAAATTTCATGTAGAATCACCATTACCAACTAATATGGAATGGCTACAGCCTACAGCCTATCCAGAAAACGAATAAACTCGGTTTAACATCGACGATCAAGACAACACTAACAAAACAATAGAAAGAAGGAACCAGTCACACTAACAAAACCTTCCTTCTCAACGTCTATCGCCATTGCTGACTGCCGGAGTTGCGTGGTGAACGCGACCGAGACCGTACGTGCCAACTGCTCCGATGGGGTCGGGACTCAGGCCGCGACGGGGAACTGTTGTGTTCGATACGAGACTTACCCGTTCTGTTTCGAATGAGAAAACATTTTTGACAAGAGATCTCTTTACATCCAGTTCATCATCATCGTCAATATTTTTGGTTTTCTTGGGCAATTGAGCGAATTTTGGAATTAGTAGCAGTTACTTTCGTGTGTGTTAGTCATAGATTTTTTTTCTTCTTGTGCTAGTTTTTGTTTCGGTTTTCAAAGTAATTTTCATAAATTTCGGGAGCGTATTAGACTATGAGTTGTACCAGTAATATTATGTTATAATACGAGTATTATAATGTAATTTGGCAAAGTTATATTTCTTAAAAGAAGTTAAGTGTTTTCCATATTAGTTTTGGGATATTATAGAAATCTATCATTGTACTCTATATAAATCCTATGTGATTTCAAGTAATAATATACAATAATTTTCGCTGAAATCTAATTTTCCAATAATCTCATTGTAGCTATTAAACTAACTCCAACCCTAGAGCTAAAAAGTCATTTACACATTTTTAGCTCTATTTTTTGTGGCTTCAACCAACATAATTTTGGGGAGCTAAAAATGGGTATTGATGAATTGGGAGCCAAATTTAACTTCCAATTGGATGGAAAACAAAATTTAGCTGGAGTGGTGGACCCGTTGCTGAGGCGAGCCACACACCGCGTTGAGGGAGAGGGCCGCATGTGCACGTCGGTAAGGTTCTCATATTGTGTATGTTTTTCTTTTTTCTTTTTTTGTGTGGTATTTTGCCAATGGTTGATTTTGTATGTTGTCTGTTTTATTATTTGAAAGAAGATATGGAATGTTGTATGTTTAATTGGTATTTTCTCGTTGGTCCCGAAGTTAACGGTAACAAATTAATGACTAATTTTCCGAAACTTTTTTTGTCTCGAAATTTAGAAAAAATTACATCCAAAATTTTGTTTCAAAAGTAATAACGAACTATAAAAAAATTACAGGGAAATATAAAAATTAGAGGTCGAATAAGTATGGTTTATTGAAATAAATTGAAAAATAGGGGTGGGAAGCTAAATTTAGCTTTTTGTATGATTGGAGTGAAAATGAGGTTTGGGGGAGTTAAAAAGCCAAATTTGGCTATTTGGGGAGCCAAATTTTGCTTTATGGTTGAAATTAGTCTTAGCATCCTGTTTTAAGCTTTTTGTGCCCTCACTCCTCGAATCAGCATGCCCTCCGGACATCAAGCCATTACATCTCCCAATCACCCCAGTAGTGGCGTAGTCAGGATTTCATTTAAGGTGGGTCCACTTAAGAATAAAAATACACATGATAAAATAGTTTTTGTCAACTTTTCTAATATTTCATGATATAATCTTATATTGAAATTTTTTAGTAAATTAAAATACGTTGTAGTCAAAACTATCAATAATATTACCTTATGTACAAAACAATTATTAATGATTTAGTTAGTCATTCTCTTTCTAATGATGTTCTTTGTCAAGAACCGTTAGTATCAATAACTCAATTTGTCGAGAAAAGTTTAATAATGAATCTTACACCAAACAATGATTCATAATTTTGTTAATTAATCGTTCGCTTTCGAATGATATTCTATCGTCAAGAACCGTTTAATATCAATAAGTCGAGCTGTTGCGATTCAATAGTATGTCTTTTATCATTTACTAGCACACTCCCTCCATTTGCTTAAGATATGAGGTCGCCCAATTCCGAACACAAGATCTTTCAATATACTATTCTCAATTAAATGTCCCATAATTATCAATATCAATTAATTATTGTACATAAGTTAACCATTTTTCTTCAGAACCCGGATCCACCCTCTTACATTCTCCCTCCGCCGCTGACCCGGTGAAACGTGTGGGGATAGGTAGAAGAGTGAGAAATAAGTCATAAAGCACAACTCCCTCTGGCACCCACACAAATATGGGGAAGGCAGATTTGCAGTGAGCAAAATCCTCCTCAAACCGAGAGGGAGAGGGCAGAAACCATCTCGGAAGATTTTAGAACGAAAGATCCACAAGGGATCGGGAAAAAAGCACAACGTAATACAAAATATTTTCCTCATTGATTTAGCTCAAGAGGATCAAATACTCACAATTACCTGTTAGAGTAGTCAACAATAAAAAGGATAATATCACATTGGTGGGAGAAGGAAAGTGCAAGTGGTTTATAGCCTAACTTGCTTCTTTATTTTGTTGAGTAAAGTAATAAGTGAGTTTTGGAAACAATGTGAAATTTAATTTGATTTATTAACCTGATGTTTGCGCACCTTTGGATTTGAAATGACACAACCCTTTGGAAAGGAACTGTCTTTTTTTTCACAATAAAAGAAACATTTGGCTAGTAGATTACCGGTAGAATCTCCATTCCCAACTAATATGGAATGACTACAGCGTATCTAAAAACGAATAGACTCGGTATAACATCAACGATCAAGACAACACTAACAAAAACAACAGTGGAAAGAAGAACATGTCACGTAAGTCTTACCTATATTTGTTGGCAACCAAACCCTCTGTCTTTCCGCTCCATTATCCCGTCCCATGCTTCTCAACGTCTATCGCCATTGCTTATGCCACGGCCAAGCGGCTTTATTTCTACACGTATGTATGCACAATATTCATACCACCACCACCAGAAGAAGAAGAAGAAATGGCACTATCAACAGCATTTCTGGTGCGCCTTCTCCTGATAATCACGATAACTACGACCATCTTCTTTGCCACTGGGTTTGTTGTAAGTTATACTTACAATAAAGATAAATTGTGCATTCGTGCTGGATCAGACGGCAGCCAGCTTCTCAACTACGCTTGGAACGAGACGAGATTGCCTGGTGCGAACGTGCAGGATCATGTCCTGGCTTACGTGGTGGATAGGATGAACAATCTGCCCCGTCACTTCGTGGATCTATGCACTATACAGACTTTCGACGGCACTGGCTTCTACCTCTTCGTGGGTTGCACGGCCGGCCTCCCGTCCGAGGAGTGCCAGGATTGCGTGGGGAAGGCGACCGCCGTCATACGCGACAAGTGCCCCGACGGGGTTGGGGCTCAGGCCGTGGCACCGAAATGTTGTGTTCGGTACGAGACGTACAAGTTTTGCGAGCTTTAATTTTGAGGGTGGTTTTCGAGCCCTAGCTACATATGGTGGGTCTGTGTTTTGAGGGAGAGGATTAGTGTACCTTGATTGCAATAAATTTTTGCACTTTCATAAAAGAAAACAAAGTATATACCGTATCGAAACGTTTACGATTTTTGTGTGTGTTGTATTTGTCGCGTTTTTTCCGATAGTGAAGCCGTTGTTTACTTGTGTATGTTGTAGTTTTTTTTTTTTGGCGAAGACGTGTGGAGGACGTTTGATTTAATTAGTAAAGCGCTTTGAAGGTCTGCTCTTTATATGGTTACTAGCAAAGACCCGCTCGCTTCGCTTCGCTTCGCGTCAATTGAAAATCTATAACTCTACTTATAGAATTATCTCCACAAATCTTTATAAGTAGTACTACTAAATTTATGGAGTGATAACATCAAGTTCCTCTAGCCTTTGTTTAAAAGCTGATACAATATGCATTTGAACAATAGGGGATGCAATGAACAAAAGTACAATGTTGATCGAAAGTTATTGTACATAGACTCAAAATTAAAGTCGAACTTAAACCGAGGGAATAAGCTAAACATCTATACAGTACATTCAATCACATACCAAAGTCTTTAGATAAAATTAAATTTGTTCTTTTTTTTTTCTTATGCTTTTCCACCTCTTCTCTAATCCGCTCAGGTGTCTCGTCCTATTAGATAGCTGAAATTCATAAGCACACAACAAGACAACCTTCTTTTGCTCCCAACACTTGTCCTCAGAAACTCCATCCATCCAGCCTACCTTCCACACCCACGAAATCCCTACCATCTGCTTCATCTTATCCCCTCTATGTTAACTAAACAGAAACAGATCACGAACAGTAAATAGATGAACAAACACAGACACAGAGTTTTACGTGGTATCCCTGGATATCCAGGACTAATCCACGGAAGAGCGTTGAAAGCTCTTCAGGCTACTGATTTTACTGAGATGAGTTTTCGAACACAATGTACAGCCGACCTCCGCCTCCCTCACATATTTAACCTACACGAGCTAGGTTAAGATCATCATCTGCCAATTACGTGCATGGGCCAAGACGTGTGCATGAGCTACGGGCTTATAATCAATGGGCCCTACATTACGTCTAAACTCCTATAGCTCAGTATAATCGCAACCAAACATACATACACTTAACATCCTCCCCCAAATTGATGCCGATCCCTCAGCATCAATTTGTTCCCAAGATACCAATGCATGCTGGTAGGAAACGCCTTCGTGAAAAGATCTGCGACCTGTTCTTCAGTGGGAAGATGGTGCAAACTGAGTGTACCATCAAGAACGAGATCACGAATGTAGTGTACATGGATCTCTATATGCTTAGTGCGATCATGGAGAACGGGGTTGACGGCTATTCGAATTGCACTTGTGTTATCCACATGCAATGTCATGGGCGCTGGACATAAAACACCAAAGTCAGATAGGAGGCGACGCAACCAAACCATCTCTGACCCAACCTCCGACATGGCACGGTATTCTGCTTCTGTAGAAGATTTTGAAACTTTATCGTGTTTCTAACAGCGCCAAGAAATGTAAGCGCCACCAAATTGTACACACCATCCAGAAGTGGACCGACGAGTATCAATGCAGCCTGCAAAGTCAGAATCTGAATAGGCACTGATAGTAGGCGCCCCAGTAGCAGGAAACAAAATGCCTACATATCGCGTCCCGTTTAGGTATCTCAATATCCTGTGAACAACCGCCAGGTGATCGACACAAGGCTCGGTCATGAACTGACTAACCACTTGTACTGCATAGGAAATATCAGGACGAGTGGCAGAAAGATAAATCAAACTGCCCACGATACTGCGATATTGAGAGCCAACTTTAAGTCGATCACCGGAACCTTTCTGTAATTTTAGATTAACCTCCATAGGTGTCTTGACTGGATGACAAGTATCAAAATGATGATCATCAAGAAGATCAGAAATATACTTCCGTTGACTTAGTAAAATACCTTGATCAGAGCGACTCACTTCAAGACCGAGAAAGTAGGATAGAGAACCAAAATCCTTGATACTGAAAGCTTGCTTTAAGCCATCCTTGAGCTGAGTAATACCCTGCGAATCAGTGCCGGTGATGACCATGTCATCAACATAGAGCAAGAGAACGAAAATCCCAGCAGTGGTAACCTTAGTAAACAGTGAAGGATCGTTGAGACTTTGCTGAAATCCCAACTGAACAATCGTAGCCTGAAATTTCTCAAACCAGACCCGAGGTGCCTGTTTGAGACCATAAACAGACCGATGAAGAAGACAGACTTGATCTTCACGACCAACAGTATATCCTGGTGGCCGTTCCATATATATAACTTCCTCGAGATCACCATGAAGAAATGCATTCTTCACATCAAGCTGGTAAAGAGGCCAATCGTATAATGCTGCAACAGCAAGCAATGTCTGAATAGTCGACATCTTAGCCACCGGAGCGAAAGTCTCATTGTAATCCACGCCATGCTCTTGAGTATAGCCTAGAGCGACAAGCCGAGCACGGTTGCGTTCCACAGTTCCATCGGGACGGACCTTAATAGCATACACCCACCGAGAGCCAATAGTTGGAGGACACGGAATTGGCCGATCAACAACAGACCATGTGCGATTTGCCTCTAAGGCTGTAAACTCGTTCTGCATAGCACGATCCCATATCGGATTCCCACGAGCTTGCTTAAATGTTGTGGGCACAACCAATGTATCTATACCGTGGGTGACGTAGTCTTCTAAATGTGGAGGCGGAACTCCTTTATTGGAGCGAGTGGATTGCCGAGGGGCAGGCTGTACTCACTACAAGAAAATGAGTCTATGGCAAGGGTTTGGTAGCAGGGGTTAATGAAACCCCTGTTAGTGTTTCCTGAAACTCCCATAGATGCGGTATATTTCAGGGGTCGAGAAACCCTTGCTAGGGGATTAAGTAATTAACCACCATTTCATCTAGTTTTACTGTTTCTAGCTTTTCACGGGGCAAAAACAATCCCAATCCCTAATGTAAAGAAACAAATCCCTAGTCCAGTGCCACTTCTCGCTTCCATCTTCTAATGCTTCTTCTTCCATAGCACAAAATCTCTAGTCAGCATTCGAGCTTTGCCGATAGCGTCTCCAACAAAGCTAATTCGACGGCGGTTAACGAACTCCAGCACGCGAGCTTTGCCGATAGCGTCGACGAAGCTGATTCGACGGGCAGTTAACAAACTCCAGCATGCGAGCGTTGCCGATAGCTTCTCTGACGAAGCTGATTCGACATGCGGTTAATGAACTCTCTGGTAGCTGTTCGTCAAATTTGATGGAGATTGCAATCTCCGATTGAAATCAATTTTGATTCTCTCAATTAGGTTATTCACTATCACTCTCTCTTTCATATTTTGATCGGAATCAGTACTTCTTGTTGTGGTAGATAGAACATTCATTCCATGTGAGAGCAGAAGCTAGAAATTCGAAGCAGCAGAAGACAAAGTAACATGGATCGGCTCTCCGATGTCTTTTTGACTCTAGTGCTCGACGTCGATGAAAACCAACAAAGGGACGATGCTCTGCTTCTTCGTCTCCTCCCCTTCCAAGCCCGAATCAAATAAAAATTCATTCCGCTTCATCCACCCTTAATTTCACTCACTACTCGTCTCCGTTAATGCTTATCCTTGCTATCTACTTGACCCCTTATACATTCTAGGGTTTTACATTATGTTCTTTTTTCGTTGAATCTATAAAATCAGCTCACGCCCTTGGGTGGTACTCTTCACCTCCTTGCCAAAACCAGTCCCCTTTAGCAATGTGGGTGGAGAATTTGATTGTTTTATTTTTTGTGCAATGTGGTTTGTTCCCCATATGTGAATTGAGAATCATCAGTGATGTAAACCTCTTTTTCATTGAGAAGATCTTGAACCATCATGGATTATTAGGATGCTTCTCTCATCGACACTAATCCGGGTACATTGCATGAGTACGAGAGGCTTAGGATCTTGCCTTATCACGAACTCAGCTTACCTCCTCATGATTGCTGCCTATGTCCTTCCAATATGTGCTAGGTAACTTAATTTTGTTTTAGTTATTAGCATTCCAACATATGTTGAGTTCCACATGGTAGGAACCATTCATGGTCGATAATTCATATGTTCAGAGTTTACTCTTCCATATGTTTGAACATTTTTTAACCTTCATCAGTCAAGCAGCAGAATAAACCAGCTAAAACAGAGGCATGCCACCACTGACGATACCTTTACCATTACATACAACACCTGGGAAGAAGCTTCATTTTGTTCTGGTCATTGATATACAGGTACTATACACAAATCCTTTCTGGTGTACTGCCATGACATTTCTTTTTTATTTTATTTCTTGTGTAAGAAGCAGTAGCATATAGAGAATTTAGGTAATTAATAGTACTGACCCATGAGCTGGAAGATGTTGGGTGATGAGGAGATGATTAGGTTCTCTGTACTTAGAATATTATGAGTCTTGTGTGTTAGAGAAGTATTTGCTTGCACATGAGAAATGATGATGAGCTGAATTATGTTCTCAAGGTTCTGTTGTAACCGATACATGCAAAAGCTTTATGTTTCTGTTGTATAACCACCTGTACTAGCCTACTAGACCATGTGTTGACCTGGACTAATTTTTTATAGTGTTCCTTGTTGCCTCTCCTATGCAAGTTTTGTTTTGTATTTTGATTATCTAGTTTGAATGTGGATTCTCTACTAAACTCAGTAATGGACTTGTTCATAAGGTACAGTTGACGATGATTCTTCATAGATGGTTTTGAGCTGCCAACTTGGTATCAAGTATGTATTAATCATGCCCTCTAAAGCATATCCTGTCATTGTCAATGTAGTCTAGTTCTAAGAAATTCTCATTAGCTTAAGCCAGAGAGCATAAATTCTAAACAACGAGCTCCTACTTGCAGCTTTAAATTGTAGAATTACCCGGGCTTTTACTGATTGCAAAATTGATTTCTTAAAGCATATCATTCTGACAGCAGGAGCGGCAGATTCCTAGTACAACCAAGGTGCAAGTGTTCATCAATATCCATAGGTGAATTTCTAAATCTTGACCAAGTCCTGATTTTCATGTTTCAATTGAATCTCGACTTTCTTTTTGGATCTTTTATAAGCATGTCGGGAAAAAGACAAATGTAGTTCATAACATTTCAACTTGATATTGAACCAAATCAGATCATGTACTGTTGACACGAAGTTGTCATTTAGCATCAAACCCTACTGGCCGCTCCCTAATTTGTGTGATGAAGAATTATAACATAAATATATCTATGTTAAGGTACATTTCTTTGATTGTCTTTTCTGCTAGCTAGCTTAGCTTCTTGTTATGGTTTGTGCAGAGAAATGGGATGGGCACCATGTTGTGACCAAGCAAATGTGAAGAAGGGGCATTACTTAAATCTTAATGCAGGGCTGACTTCCTGTCAACTAGAGTTGGGTTGTAGTTCAAGAATATTTGTAGGAACATCTTGATTTGGGAAAGATTGAGAAGGTTATTTCAAAGACATCATTGCTTAACATTGTTTAGTTCAAGTACCTTTGGCCATTTCTAATTGGGTATTGAGGCAAAATTTTCAGAACATAGTCATATGAGTGTCTTTACTTCCCTTCTCCTGTATACCAGAAGACGAGAAACCATGGAGTCAAACCTCAAAATGATTGCACTTTCTTCATTGAAGAAATATTGATGAGGATGCATTGGAGCAAGCTTTGAATGCTGCTGTAACGTGCTAAAGGTCCTATACTACAAAAGGTTCTCTGTCTCTCTCTTTCTCTCTCTGCAGTAACTTAGTGTTTACTTGGCACTAGTGGCTGCCTCTGCTTACTGATTCAGTGCCCCATCCTCTTCTTGAAATCTTTCCACTGAACCATCTCCGAACAATGCCTTAAACCTGCTATGAACAATCCCTTGTTGTACTTTCAGGTGCACTTAGAAAGGATCCGAAGGAAACCCGAAATCAATGCATTTTTTGAATAACTGAAGCCACATCAGGTTAGTGATGATGAACTTTTCAACTTGGCAGGTCTTGCATTCATTAGCCATGTGCTTATTTATTATTGGTTGTACTTCAATAGAAAGCACTATTGCTGGACAACTTCGCAGTCCTTGATCGTGCAATGATCGAGCACAATCTTCTAAGTGCAAGCAAACTATACACTAATACAAGGTTTGTTATTTACCTTCTAACTGCAATGATCGAGCACAATCTTCTAAGTACAATCATTTTGAGGTTTGACTCCATGGTTATCTTCTTTTGATATGCAGCAGAGTAAGCGAAGACACTCATATGACTATGTTCTGAAAATGATGGTTTGTTATTTACCTGATTCTGTGCTCTCATTCTCATTAATATTTCATGCCTATTAATTCGAAGCTTATAAGACTTCCAGCTTACTTTACCTATTCCAATCTTAACGTGCAGGCCTATTTAGATTTCTGTTCGAGCAGTTGCTGCAACTCATGATGGATTGAAGGCAAGAGAGTTACTGAAAGAGAGCCCCATAACATAGACATCATTCTATCATATAATGGATTGAACCATGGATATAGTGTACTGTATGATTTGGCTACCCAAGAATGATTTTTGTAGAAAATTTTGCAAGAAAAAGCTTGGTTATGGATTTATCTATAGTGACCAGAGTATTGCAACCAAGTTATAGTCACCAATTTTTATGGGTTTCAGCGACATTTTTGAGTTTGTTCAAAAAATTTATCAGCCTCTCTTTAGTGCCGATTCTGAGCTGGTTGCAATTGATTTAGAGACAAATTAAGCAAGGGTTTTAACCCTTGCTAGTTAGAGCAACGAACTTAGCAGGGGGCTTAACCCCTGATACAAACATCTTACTATTGAATTTTATATTGAATTGTAGCAGGGGTTTAAACCCTTGATACATGTAGCAGGGGTTTTAAACCCCTGCTATAACCCTTGGACGGGACTTTCACCGTGGGTTGTTAAAAACCCTTGCTACACATAGCAGGGGCAGCATAGGCGAGGGTTCATGCAGGGGTTGGCGAAACCCTTGCTACAACTTGTAGCAGGGGTTAAAACCCTTGCTATAGGTAGAAAAAACCCTTGCCATAGACCCATTTTTTTGTATTGACTGCTGGAGAAGTCTCATTAGATGCAATTGGCGAGCTACTGGATGCATGGGAACTTGATGATGTTGTTGTAGATGGTGAGGTGTCGGTGGAGGGAGGAGACAAATCTTGCGGGGAAGAGGGAGTGGCAGGTTCATTGGATATAGCAGGGACATCATCCACTTCTTCATCAAATATTGGCAAAGGATTTTCCCCACCAGGAAACTCAAATGGTAAAGCTGGCCGATGAGAAAAGAACATCATATGTTCAAAAAAGATGACCGAGGCAGCAATTCTCATGCGCTGAGCTGAAGGATCAAAACATAGGTACCTTTATGAATACTACTATACCCCAGAAAGACACATCTAGAAGTTTTAGAAGTCAACTTTGTACGCTAACGTTTAGGAAGAAGAACAAAACATAAGCAGCCAAAAACTCTAAGACGAGAATAATCAGGATGATGACCATGAAGGGCATAATAAGGACTGGTTTGACCTAGAGTAGGAGTGACCTGGTAATTAATGAGCTTGACGGCGGTAACAATAGCCTTTGGCCAAAACCGACCAGGAACAGATGAAGCAATAAGAAGAACACGGGTGAGTTCCATAACATGTCTTTTTTCCGTTCAACTATACCGTTTTGTTGGGAGACACCGGGACAAGACATCTGACTTAATATGCCTCAAGAACGATAGACCTCATGCAAGGGAATATAATTGAATTCACCTCCTGGATCAGATCGAATGATTTTGACAGTTTTTCCAAATTGGGTTTGAATCATGTTAAGAAAATCAATGGCCACAGAACGGAGTTCGGATTTCAGACGAAGAAAGTATATCCAGGTGTATCGAGTGGCATGATCAATGAAGAGAGCAAAATATTTATAACCAAGCTGAGAAATAGTTGGGGAAGGTCCCCACAGATCTGTGTGAATAATGTGGAAAGGCTCGGTTATAACAGTAGTACTAGAAGGAAATGATGTACTAGATGTTTTTGCTTCAACACAACTAGTACAAGAATGATTTGCTGAAATGCCAACATGGTTCTTGCCAAGGAGAGATTGTTTAAACATAACCGAAAGACGATTAGAATGGGGATGCCCCAGACGGGCATGCCATAGTTCCCAAACTTTATTTGCTAAACTCGAAAAAGCTGAACCAACAAATGACTGAGGTTTAACAGACAGAGGAGGACTATTGACAGACCTAGACACACACTGATGAGAGCTCAAGGTATGAAAAGGAATATTGTCTTGCAGCTCCTCTAAATGAAATATCCTCCCCTGTTTACTCCCCCTTCCGATCTGTCTCCCCGTCCTCAAGTCCTGTATAACACAGCCAGTAGGAGCAAACACAACAGAACAACCCTGCTCAGTAATATGACCAACAGAAACTAAGTTCGCCACTAATGCAGGAACATGCAAAGTATTAGGCAAAGAAATACTAGAAGTATGGACTTGACCAACACCTTTTACGTCCATTTTATCTCCATTTGCGAGAAGAACCAGCAGACGCGGCGACAATTGTTTTGCCTTCTCCAGGGCGCAAGTCAAACTGAGCTTGCGTTCTCAGCCTTGTCTCTTCACGGACCAAGCTGCTCAATACACCATCAAACTGCAGCTCCTCACGATTCAGAATGGATGATCTCACATTCTCAAACTCGGGCCTTAGTCTCATAAGGAATTGCATAATCCGAGCTTGTTGCCTTTCAGCGAGGGAATCTTTTGTCAATGACTGAGGACGTAGCGCCATTTGAATCATGTCTTGCTCGATCCATAACTCTTGTGCAGCATTGAAGTAATCGGTGACCGAGCAATCTCCTTGTTCCAGCCGAGAGAGCGCCGTTTGAACCTCGAATTGTCGCACTGCATTGACAGAAGAATACAGCCCAGCAAGGTGTCGCCACATCCTATTTGCGGTGGGAAATAATCTTAGGCTGAGGCATGTAGAAGGATCCACCGACCCTAAAAGCCAGGACCTGATCCGCGCATCATTCTGGGACCAGGCAGCTCGTTCTTGAGCGGCGGTTGCTGCCACCGGTTGTGGAATTGTCCCATCCAAAATACCCAGCAGTCCTTGACCTTCAACGAACACCCGGAACTGGAATTCCCACAGAGAATAATTCGTAGAAGTGAGGCGTACAGTCGGCCTCTCCGATTCAGCCGCGGTGAGCTCTGATACCATGTTAACTAAACAGAAACAGATCACGAACAGTACAAAATAGATGAACAAACACAGATACAGAGTTTTACGTGGTATCCCTGGATATCCAGGACTAATCCACGGAAGAGCGTTGAAAGCTCTTCAGGCTACTGATTTTACTGAGATGAGTTTTCGAACACAATGTACAGCCGACCTCTGCCTCCCTCACATATTTAACCTACACGAGCTAGGTTAAGATCATCATCTGCCAATTACGTGCATGGGCCAAGACGTGTGCATGAGCTATGGGCTTATAATCAATGGGCCCTACATTACGTCTAAACTCCTATAGCTCAGTATAATCGCAACCAAACATACATACACTTAACACTCTAACCTCGATAACCCCTTCCCCTGCTAGGTCTCAGGGGAACCCTGCATCTTTGTGTCGTTGCCTTTGAATAGCAGATCATAGATCTCCTTTGCACAAGTCAACAAATCGCAGGCCGATTCCGACCACTCTCGGAAGAATACTAAGTGTTCAGGAATAAAAGGAGAGAAGGAAGTAGCGAGGCCACGAGGGTGGCGAGGAGTTCCGGCAGCGACGGATAAGTGCTGTGTTGGTTTCGGCGTTGCCAGCTTCCGCTGGGTTCAAAGGTCCCTCGTGAAGAACTCCACCAGTTCCATGGTCTCCTCCTCAACATCTTCCTCTACTCCAACAATTCTCGTCGTCTTCCTCTGCGCCAACGGTTTCGGCGTTGTGAGTGGATTTTCTGAGTGGGAGGAAGCCTCTCCTCCCGTTGCATCGTGAAAGAAAGAGAAGACAAAGTACAGTGAAGGAGCATATTGCATATGGAAAGGATAAGAAGCAAAAGTGAGTGGTCATTTTGCAGAGGTACAGAGAAGTATTCGACGGACAAAGGCTAGATCCAAAGTTCAGTGGCAGCGAGTGGGGTAATAGGGATTGGGGGTTATTGTGTGAGAGAAGAAGTGGAAAATGTGGGCGAATGAAAGGAAAACGAGTGGAGGAAGCCCAGTCGCAGAGGAGAGAGTGGGAGCCACTAATGAACAGTGATTGCAACCAAGGCTTTTATATATTAATAACCTCGATAACCCCTTCCCCTGCTAGGTCTCAGGGGAACCCTGCATCTTTGTGTCGTTGCCTTTGCATAGCAGATCATAGATCTCCTTTGCACAAGTCAACAAATCGCAGGACGATTCCGACCACTCTCGGAAGAATACTAAGTGTTCAGGAATAAAAGGAGAGAAGGAAGTAGCGAGGCCACGAGGGTGGCGAGGAGTTCCGGCAGCGACGGATTAGTGCGGTGTTGGTTTCGGCGTTGCCAGCTTCCGCTGATTTCAAAGGTCCCTCGTGAAGAACCCCACCAGTTCCAGGGTCTCCTCCTCAACATCTTCCTCTACTCCAATAATTCTCGTCTTCTTCCTCTGCGCCAACGGTTTCGGCGTTGTGAGTGGATTTTCTGAGTGGGAGGAAGCCTCTCCTCCCGTTGCATCGTGAAAGAAAGAGAAGACAAAGTACAGTGAAGGAGCATATTGCGTATGGAAAGGATAAGAAGCAAAAGTGAGTGGTCATTTTGCAGAGGTACAGAGAAGTATCCAACGGACAAAGGCTAGATCCAAAGTTCAGTGGCAGCGAGTGGGGTAATAGGGATTGGGGGGTTATTGTGTGAGAGAAGAAGTGGACAATGTGGGCGAATGAAAGGAAAACGAGTGGAGGAAGCCCAGTCGCAGAGGAGAGAGTGGGAGCCACTAATAAACAGTGATTGCAACCAAAGCTTTTATATATTAATTAATTAATAATTAATGATTGTGTGAAGAGGGCTTGGGATCTTGTTGTTGTTCAAATATCACTTGAGACTCGTAATGAAGTAAAATAGTGAGCTTCAATCCCATCTCCATAATGAAAAACAAATCATTAATTCATACAATAAATGCTCATTAAATATTAAAAAAAATATATAATATGTTAAACATATAAAGGTAACACATATGTGATGATGGAAATTGAAAAGTAAAATGAGAAAGTTTCGATGACTGTTTTCTTCATGAGAAATGAACACAACATCATACACGTAACTGAATTGTACGTAATATAGGATTGAATGTGAAGCGAGTATGGATATAAAAAAAATTAGTACAAAAACATCTGAATTATGAGGCACTTTAGTGTGCTTTATAGTATTGGTGCTATAAAACATTTACAGCCATTAGATCATGTTCAAACTATATCAACCATTAGATTTTATTTAAATTATTAATATATTATTTTATTTGTGTGTGGACAACCGGTTGTCTGAAATTATTTGGCCGAAACCATTCTTCTCACCTCTTCTCACGGCCGAAACCATTCTTCTCACCTCTTCTCACCGCCGAAACCATTCTTACTTCGATCCTCTCCACACAGCTAGCGAGCAGTGAAGACGACGACAGTGAAGACGGCGAGCAGTGGGTGACGACGAGGGAAGACAACGAGCAATGGGTGACGACGAGTAGAAGAAGCTTGTCGATTGCAGCGATTCGGATTCCGGATTCCGACGATGACAATGAAGGCGGCGAGCCGGATTCTGACGACGACAGTGAAGGCGGCGAGCAAGGGACGACGAGAGCGAGCATCTCTTCGTCGATTGCAAACGAAGACCCTCTTCCCATCGATAGCAAACGAAGACTCTGCACAGAACCCCCTCTTCCCATCGATAGCAAACGAAGACCCTGCACTAAACCCCCTCTTCCCATCGATAGCAAACAAAGACCGCTGACCTACCTCCTCCACCGCAACTTTTTTCGGTTAGTATGCCTATCAGTTCTACAATTTTATTCAATTTTCCGGTTAGTATGGCTATCAGTTTAGGGATTATGTTGGGATGTTCTAGATTTACACATTTCGGTAGGGGATTGAAATTCCATGCTCGTTTTAGGTTTATGAGTTTAATTGGTCATGTCCTTTTACCAGGTTGATGTCCTTGTACTATCTTCTTTGTGTTTAGCTTGATAATTAGCTATATATTGACTGATTTAGTGTCAAAGCAAACTATCAATTCACATATGGGACCTGCTTGTTGATGTCCTGGTATTGGTTTAATTGTGGACCTCATAGATGTAAGTCGATGTTGATCAAAATCCTTCTGAAAGCCATTGTAGTTCATCTTGTAGACCATCTTATTGTTTACAGAATTAGGGGTGAGTTGGTTGATTCTAAACTTGTCATGATAAGTAGCATGTTCTACTTCTGCTGGTCTATTTTCCTTGGTGTGGCTGTGTCTCCAGTGGGAAGGAAAATGTTGTCAATTCCAAAAATCTTCTTTTCATGTGGGCAGAGAGGTCTTTGTCAAAGCAACGTGGTGTAATGTGGTTGTTGGTTGCTCCTCCATTAACCATACAGCCATAGATTTCCTGCTACTAAAGTTCATTGTGAGTCGATTTACACATTGAAGCTTGAAGGGAGAGTTGTGCATGGTTGTAGATGCCTTGCTGGGTAGTGAACAATTTAATCATGTACCAAAGAGGAAAATGCTTGTCACCAAGAAAACTCACACTTGGTGAAAGAGCCTAGGAAATAGCATGCATGAACCAAGCAAAGATCATGTGTTCTTTATGTGGTTTTCCACCATAGCTAAATGCTATCTCATGAAAATGATATCATAAATTAGTTTTGGAAACTTTTTTTGTTTACTTTTTCATAAATGGAAACTCCATTTCACTTGGAAAACCGGTGTGAGTTGCACGTGTCGAGAGAGCTATTGCCTTGTTGAGTTACATAATCGTCATTCCAAGCATGCGATTCATCTTGTCTTTGTGAGCGCTGGGAGAGGAGTCCTAATCATGGTCCCATTGTGGTTAAGCTAGCAACTATTTGTAGTATGCTTGTTGTGTGGATGTATTCTAGAAAAGGGTAATCGAAGCATTTGTCTTCTGTGATTCTTTGCATGAGCTTTGCATTAGTCTTATGTGATTCTTTGCATTCATTTGAGCTTTTTATTTCGTTTGAATGCTGGCTCCGTCTACGTTTATGTGATTAGTACTTCAGTTTACTATTAGAGCAAGATTGTGATGCAATTGATAGGTTATGCCGTGATTCATCAAGTGAACCTTGGACTTCATCTCCTCATGCTTAATCATTAGTTCATTCTTTTATGCATTCCAGTATTATTTTTCTGATTAGAGATTCATCTGTAAATATGCACTTCTCACGGCTCATCTGTAAATATCACGGGCGTGAGATTAACCCGTGATATGGTCACAGCTGAAACTCAAAAACACGCCTCACATCTGAAAATATCACGGCCAGGAGATGTATCGTTAGATATTTTTAAAAAAGGGGGGAGTTCCAGGGGTTTTCACGGGTTGGGTTCGACAGTATCACGGCCGTGAGATGAGCCGTGTTTGTGTAATTGAAATGCTGGACTTCTCACGGCTCATCTGTTAATCTCACGGGCGTGAGATTAACCCGTGAGATGGTCACAGCTGAAACCCAAAAACACGCCTCACAACTGAAAATCTCACGGCCGGGAGATGTACCGTTAGATTTTTTTAAAAAAGGTTTTGGCGTGATTCATCAAGTGAACCTTGCATTCCAGTATTATTGTTCCCAACCATGCGTGATCTCAAAAAAAGTTGCTCCAATCTGACCTAGCTAGCGATTGTGTTCCTTCCTTTATGCATGCCAGTATTAACTTTTTGATTGGAGAGACTTGATTTGTGTTTTATGGAGGCAAATCGAATAGGAAAGTTCATACTCAAAGTTTGATTCTTTTCAGTTTGGCTTGAGACAAGTTGGATTGTTGTTTGCCTTCAAACTGAGCCTGCAGAGAAAATTTTGGAAGAGTTGATTTGGTCTTGTTGGTATTGTAGTGTCGTTACCGTTGCTTGTTGATTACATTTTGGACTGTTAATTGAAGGGTCTTGCTTGGCTGCATGAAAGGTGCAATTGAGTGTGTTAGTCAAGAATTAGTTCATGAAATCAGGGTGACTTGAGTTTTAGCCAGTTTGGATGGAAATAGAGCGAGTGTTTATGGTGGTGTCATGGGTTATGGAAAGCTTAGTGGCTATGCTCGTGGTCATGTTATTTAGCTCTCAAAAGTTGTAAGTTGTGTGTGGTTTCTGATTTTTGTCCAAAAAACATGTGCGGGTTTAGATGTAGAAGGGAGCCTTAGAACAAAACAGAAGAAAAGAACAGGGGCATGGTGTCTGATTTTCCAGGTTAAACCTTTTTGTTTGTTTATTACAATCTCTTAAATCTGTTTTTTGAACTAGCCTTGGATTTAGATATGATATGAATCTGGTAGCTAAAATGACTAATGAGAACAACCATAAGCTAAAGCCATAATTGCAAACAAATAGTAGTTCTGAATACATCAACAAGCATCACAACCATTATTTTGAAACTCAGATTTGAGCATATGCAGCTCTTCTTCTTTGAAATACCCAACTATATTTGTTTGTACTGGTTTTATAGAAACAAGTTGGTCATTGTAGTTGAAAAGAGATGATTATACGATTTGATCGGGGACAAACCTTGTCCTTTTGCTTGGTAAGATCACCTGTGAATAGATGATTAAACCTTTTCTTCTGTTTTGCTTATCTCATGAAAAGATGTTACGGCTGTGAAATTTCAAGAATTAGCCGTGAGAATATTTAGTGGGTGTTTTTAGTTTCACGGCTTATTTTAACGGCCGTGATTTATGAAGCCAAAGCCGTGAGATTGTCTGGGGATATGAAAACTACTCTTTGCTTCTCACGGGTCATGTCACGGCCGTGAGAATTTGCGTTTTGGGTGAAATTTAATGAAAGCTGGGTGTTTTGGGTGAAATTTATATATGCTAATGGCGGATTTCATGGTTAATTAGTGTACTCAGGTGTTGATGTAGGGGGCTTTCAGTTCTTCTGGTAGTTAGAACTTGATATCGAGGCAAGTGTGCTTGTGAGCTCTGGTATAGTCTTGCATTTGTTCAATATTGATAAAAGCCATATATTGAAACCCAGGATTGAACTCATTACCTGGAGAATGTGTTTACCGAATGATTAAATGATCCTTTTCTCAAATGAAACTTTGTCATAACCACGTTTTCTCGAATGTGTTTAAGTGTGAAAACTGAAAGTTGCTTCTTTAGATCAGTGGTGGACGACTCTGGCTTTGTGTATTTTGTTAGTACTCTTCGGCATGCTTGTAATTCGTGTTTCAAGGCATGCTTATAATTTTTTTGTTGTTTTAATTTTTCAGTTTGCTAAAATTGTTCTATAATGAAGACGAAGAGGCATGAACTTTTTAGCACGCGATGTTCTCCTAGGAAAGTATTCTCACTAGTCTCAAATTTAGAGGCTTGTCAATCAGAGGCCATTAAGAGATGTGGCTTTGGTCATATGCTTGAAGTCAAAGGAAGAATGCTCCAACGTGAGTTGTTGGAGATCCTTTTGAAGAGCTTTAATCTGGAAGAAAGCACAATTCAGGCTTATGGGTTGAAAGTCCATATTTCGGCCAAAGATTTCGAGCAAATTATGGGCGTGCCTGAGGGAGGTACTGATATCATCTTGAATGGTGAAGAAGTGGGAGGAAGATCCGAGGAACTGAAACCATTTAGAGTGTATTCGACAGCTGATTGTGCCCGACAGGCGATTTCCACAAGCTTAATGCGGAAGGCGTTGTCGAAGATGAAAGATAGCGGCGATCTATTTCTTCAAACGTTTATTTTGTACGTAATGGGGGTGCTATTAGTACCAACTAGAAGAGATGACTTTTTGTTATCTTCGGTATACGCTGTCCTCGATGTTGTGGACATTCCGAAGAAGAATTGGGCATCGTTTTGCTTCAATGAATTGGTCAAATGCATCTGCGACCATAATGCTGATGGGAGAAAGTATATACCGGGTTGCTTGCTGTTTTTGGAGGTAAATAATTGCTAATCCCTACTTTCTACATATTTGTAATGATTAATCATCATGTTGATTATAGTATTTTTTTTGTAGTTAATATTCTTGGAGCATGCAAATGGTATTTTCCAAACCATTGATGGGAGTTTGGATTTGATGAGTTGGGGGAGCGGAGACGTGGAGTTATTGTTAACAAAAGTGGTAAGACTGATAGTATATTTGATTCTTTTGACGAGTTGGAGCATGCTAATGGTACATTTGGTTCCCTTTTTAATTAATTTATAGGTTTGCAGCAGTTCGGGGAAAAGATCGTCTGAGGATGCAGGTTTGAAATCACCTCCAAGGAAACGGGAAAAAAGAGATGGGAAACGGCACAAACCCGACGGGGATGAGCTGCTTCTCTGTGAGCGTATTGACGCTCAGTTTAGTACCATGGAGGGTAGAATTGACAACTTTAGTCAAGAATTTAGAGTTGCAATGGGTGATGCTGCTTCCAGAGATAATGAGCTAATGAGTTGGGTTGTGAAAATGGAGAACGAATTTCGGGCTTTTAGAGACAAAATTGGTACTCAAGTGAAGTCCATTATAGAGGCAGTGAAAGTAACTATAGGTGATCCGTTGTCAAGGGAGCAGCCTACTGAGTTGAAAAAGAACGATCAGAAGGATGCGGCTGATAATGTGAAAGCTTCTGCAGCTGTTTTGTTGTCAACGGAGCAGCTTATCAGAGGGGAAAAGGGCAATCAGAAGGGTGAGGTTGAAAAACCAAGTGAACCCATTTCTACTAC